ATTTAATATATTATATACTATATAATATATTTTTATTTATTAGTTATCTTTCTGTTTTCAAACTTATTTTTTTTCTTTTTAGCCGAGCATACTCTTTTTCACCTTTCTTTTTTATTTATGAAGTCAGTTTCACGTTGTCTAAAACTGAATGATAACTTTAGTTCAGGGTTTCAAAGAACCTTTCTTTCTTTAAACTTTTGGGTATAAAACTGTTTGCGTGGGTCTCCCAGTGCACATACACCGATTCTAGTCGAGAGAGGTTATATTCCGTAGAAGTACTCATTATTTATTTGTTGCCAATTGCCATTGACGACGAACTTGACTTGAAGTCAATGCAGGAGAATGGTGTCGTCGAAACTTCACCAATTTGGAAGAAAGGGACGAAGATGATTTTGGTCATGACAGGGGCAAAATGGTCCTTGCGAAAGAAAATTTTAACTTCTTCTGTGTAGCTTTATCATTTTCCAGTATCAGCAACAACTAGGCCCCGCGCTGGGCCTCACTGCATTATTGCCCTTGCCAATAATTCAACACATCCCACAAACCTGATTATCGTTTTTTTTTTTTTTTGGGGAAAAAACCTGATTATCTTTTCTCATAGCTTTTGCCCTTCTATAATTTTATAATAATAAATTAAATGCTGCATGAAAATAAACTAATTTTATATTTTAGTCAAATTTGGCTTCTTTGAAAGAAAATGCATATGCGCAATTGATTAAGATCGCAGCTTTTTTCTTCTTTTTTCATTTCCTCTCAAATCAACTCTACTTTTAGGAGAATTATCTTTTTATTTAATAATTTAGTTATATAATTTAATTTATTTTAGATTATACAACACTTTATTTTTGTTACCATTGACGAGGGAGTTGGAAGTCAATGCAAGAGGCGCCAGTCGAAAATTCATGACATTGGAAGCAAAGCAAGGGACGCAGTCACGTAGATGATCTTGGCCATGACAGGGGCAAAATAGTCCTTGCAACAAAAAATATTTACTTTTATGTGGCTTTAATATTTTCTTGCATGGGTGATAGCATAGGATAATTTTTTATATCACTCTTTTATATAATTTTTGTATATTATTAAAATAATAAATATATTTAATATAAAAAATTTTAAATAAATAAAAATAATTAATTATTTAAATAATTCATAAAAATTTATAAAAAA